CTCCCCGCCGGCAGGAGAAGGGGAGGGGAGGGAGGACGAGGGGGAGAGCGGCAGGGGCAGCAAGCACGCGCGTGGGGGCGGACGGGGGCACGGGCGGGGGCTGTCGTCAGCTGCTCGCGGTCAGCGGCTGCTGCGCGCCGCGACGGCGTGGACGGGGGCGGCGGCGGGCGGGGGCAACGGCGTGGGCGGGGACGGCGGCTGGGGGCGGGGGGCGCGGTCGTCGTCGTCGGCGGCCGTTGGGGGCGGCCAGCGAGCGGCCGTCGGACCAGTGGCCGGCGCTGCGCGCCCGCGCGGTCGGCGGGCGTCAAGGCCCAGGGGCGGCTCGGGGAAAGGCGGCCGCGCCTGCGCTGCGGCGAGCGTTTCTCACCGCCCACGCGGCGTCAGCCGTCGACGCCGCCGCCCCGGCCGCCAAGCGCGCCGGCGTCGCGCCAAGTCGCGACTCTAGGCGGCGCAGCGCTGCCCGCGCGCTCTCCCTGCGCAGGGAGATGAGCTGCTGGGCTAGCTGCGCCGCCGCAGCCAGGTCTACGTGATCACCTTCGATGCGGTCCGGGAGCTCCGCCTCCATGGAGGACGAGAGACCGCGCACTCTCCGAGCCAACTCTTGGACCCTGAAGCAGGCCTGACGAATCTCGAGAGAAGCGCAAATGGCTGGCCTGCGGCCTTCGATAGGCCGTCCGCCAGCTCGTCACCTCGACGCTGCTGAAAAGCGATGGCCCCATCGAGCATCCGAGCATCAGTAGTGCGAGACTAAATCTTCACAACCCTTAGGCCTCGTCTAATTTGTCGCCGATCCCATTCCATCAGCGGGTCCTGGGAGTCTTGTAGGAGAAGAGGAAACGTCGTACACATAAGCTTTCGGCGTTCCGCGCGGGTTTTTTGGAACAGCGCTGGGCCCCCCTCCCTGGCGCGCGGAACGCGCCATGGGGCGGCGCCAAACTCGCCGCCGGGTGCCCCCAGGCGACGATCCAAAAAACCCGCGCGGAGCGCCAATAGCTTATGCATATGCAATGTTATTTCTTCGATCTTGGGCCCTCAGGCACTGGCGCGGACCACAACGCAACCAACAGCGCCGGCACAGTCAATGAAAACCGTGGAGGGGCCAGCTATCAGAGCATGCCTCGACAGCACCAAGAGTTCATAGCCCGCGCCGTCCTTCGCCACTTGCTCGGAAGTCTCACTCAGCAGAACTACTCCTGGAATCGAACTACTGCAATCGCCATTCTCATCGACGATCAATACAGCCCAGGACGCAACGCGGATATTGGCAAACGAGGTGTCGAGCCCCGCCCCATCGGTGAAAAATCGCACTGCCAGCAAGGATCACTAAGGGCTGGTCACTAATTATTTTCGGCCTTGCGAGACGGCGCTGGAACCAGCACGAAGGGTCGGGGAAAATACAACGAGCAAACAACTCACGCGGGTCCCCCCCCCCCTCCCAAGAATTTTCATCTTCTGCGACGCCCTAGCCCGCGCTGCCTGCCGCCTGCAGGGAGCCGCCAAGCGTCTGCTTGAGGCTTGTGGCTGCCGCTGCTCGATGAGCAGCTGCGGCTGCGCAGGCGCCAAAGCGCCGGCTGCTGGCGCCAAAGCGCCGGCTGCTGCCGCCGGCGCTGCCGCTCACGCAGACGCGGCCCTCCCCCGCCCCCGAGATCGCCGAGCGCGGCGACCTCTCGGAGACGGAAGCGGAGCCATAAGAACGCAACTGCCGCGCCGATCGGATCCCCCGCGACCGCGACGGGCGCGCGCAGCAGCTGACGCCGGGCAAGTGCCAAAATCCGGCCATTCGGGACGACGTGCCGCTCCGAGCGAAGAATGCCGAGCAGTTGGGAATGCTGGAGCCGGTGGGGGCGCCGGAAACACGCCCGCGCTACGGCCGCGCCTGCCTCTACCGCGCGGCGCGTCTAGGGCGACGCCGCGCACGGGTGGGCCGCCGCCGCCACGGGGGCGCGGTTGCCCGCGGGGCCCGCTATTGCGTCGACCGCGCCGCCGTCTGGGCCAACCCCGCGACCCGCCGGCGCCGCCCGCGCCCGCGCCCCCCCCCGGGGTTCGGCGCGCGGCCAAAGACCGGAAATCGGGCCCCTGGGCTGCGCCGCCAGGGCCCTGTAGCGTCGGTCGCCCAGCTGAGCGACCTCCGCCCCCCCGCAGCGGAACAAGGCGATGGCTACGCAGCGTGGGTCGCGAGCCGTGATGGCGAGATGGTCTACTACGCCTTCGGAGCCACGCCGATTGCCATCCGCCGCCCGCGGCTGGGCTGGGACGGATGGCGGCCGCCCGCCCTCGACTGGATCGCGGAGGCCCCACGCGAGGTGGGCCCCCGCGCCAGCGGCCGTCTCGCAGCAGAGGCGCGCGCCACCGGGGCCCCGCTGCTCATCGCGCCCACCCGCGCCGACCACGCCCCGAAGGGCGCGGCGGCGGACGGCTGCAGCAAAGGCCCGGCGGGGATCGACCCCCCCTGCAGGTGCACGAGTGGCCGGGCCGCCTCGAGCGCGCCCTGGTTTCCCAGACGCGACGGGCATCGCCGACGGAGTAGCAGAGGACGGAGACTACGAGGATCGGTCAGGCACGTCAACACCGCCGCCTTGTCGGGCCGAAGCCGCCCTGGGAGGGGCGCCGCGAGGCGGGGGCAGAAGCTCCAGGCCAAGTCGACGCTCCGAGGGGCCAGGGGCCCCGACCAGCGATGACCTGATCGACCTGCGGCAGGGCCGACAGCCGGAGCCCGGCGCCCCGGACTGGGAGGCCCCGCGCGCCCTCATTACCGACGAGGCCCGTCGCCGCGCGCCGAGCCCAGCGGCGCTGGCCAAAGAGTTCTTGGAGGAGCAGCGCCTGCAGAGCGCGGGCATCGACCTGGTTGTTACTAGAAGGACTCCTAGGTGGCACAAATGAGCTTGTCTTGTTTTCCGGCTTCGAATTTCGCAATATTTCTCCTCGTCTCCTTCCATTCCTCTATCTCGCTTCTGTCTTCCTGTCGCGCGCGCGGGTGGAACTGCCGTCCTAAATAGGGGGGCGCCCAAGCCGTCAGCTCGCGTCCCACAAGGCAACAGAAGCAGCGATCTAATCGCAATCATGTCTTCCAGGACTTGATGGTCTCGGGACTGCGCTGGCGCTGCTTCGTCGGGGCACGCGCCCTTTCATGTGCCCCGACTGCAACGGCGCCCCCGTTCCCTTCGCAACCAACGCCGTTTGGCTCAACGCGAAGCGGAAGCTGGCCAGCCGCTGGTCTCCGTCGCCTGCGCCCCTTGAAGCAGCCGCGGTTACTTCCAGCGCCCCGCCTGCGGTGGCTGATCCAGCGGCCCGAACCCCGCCAATGGACGCCTCGGCGACCTACGGGGCGAGGCGGCACCAGCGGAACCCCGGGCCCTGGGAACCCGAGGAACAGATCACGCGGTCCTGCCGCGCCACTAACTATGGGAATGCCTTTCAGAATTACCGACGCGCTTACTTCCGCCACCCGCGCAAGGCGATGAACAAAAAAAGGTTGATACTCAAGCCGTTTCTGCGGCTGCTTGAACGCGGACCGACCTGGCGGGCGGCGGGCGGGCAGCCGAAAACATTGGCAAGTTTCATATCCCTGCAGATTCCGGCGCGGCGACTCACGGCACATGCGCGGCTTCTTCGTGGGCGAACTCTCCAGGTTGCGTCGTAGCCGCCCGAGCGTAGATCCCCAGACGGTCTCGTTGTCGCTGATGGACCTGCGGGCCCGAGCGGGCGCCCCCGCCCTCGATCATCGGCTGACACGCGCGCCCAGGCCCTCAACGACGAAGACGGGGCGCCAGGGGTGGCCGCTGGCCCCGCGGGAGCGCACCTCGCCACGCTTCGCGCCGTCGACGGGGCGTGGGGCCCCAGGCCCGACAAGGTCCACAGGCGGCGGCGGCGGCTGACCCTGTGGCGCCGGCCGGCAGCGGCGGACGCGCGCCCGAAGCAGGCCCGAAGAGGGCTGAACACTGAACACTGTCGACCGCGACTGCAAAATCCAAGCAACCCCTCGCCTCCGATCGAGACACGCAGACGCCCGAGGGTCGCCAGCGCGGAATCCCAGACAATCGGCAGACACTCCCCGAAAGCAACGCCCCAAGCTTGGCGAAGGAGAGCCCCGAGAAGGCCAACTGCCGGTCTGGCTGCGGTGGCGGCGCGGTCGGGCGGGCCCGCAGAGCGGCGGACCAGTTGTGGAGGGTGGGCGTGGGGGTCGGGCGCAGGGCCCCGGCAATGATTTCTACATGGGCCCCGCATGGGTGATGCATCCTCGATTGCTTTTCGGCACGAGAACCAATGTCAGTTCCTCGCCTGCACCCACGCGCGAAACTTAAAGGTAAACGAAGCAAGGACCCGGGGGGTTGGGGAAAAGCGACGAAGGCAACGTGCGCTGAGGGCGCCAGAAGATAAGGTTGGAAAAAAACCGGCGGGGTGAATGTCACAATCTGCCCAACCAATCTTACATACGGAACATTGCGCCTCAGTTTGAAATATCTTGAGGGCCAGGGCAAAATGAAAATTCACATGCTGGGGAAGGTATAATATGCATTCACATGTTGGAATCGAAAGGAACATGTGACATTACATGTTGAAAACAAAAGAACATATGAATTCAATTTTGGTGATTGTATAAAAAGTTGCAAAATGGGGCCAGCATGTGAATACACAGTTTGGGAAAAATGTGACTTTACAGTTTGGGAAAAAAAGGAAAACGTGAATTCAGATGTGGGGAGAATCGCGGGACCCATTTCAAATCTGTCTGAGGGGTCGAGAAGTCATCGTTTGGTTTGGGGACATACGCGATCATCAACCGCACAACCAAAACACACTTGCACTCCACTTCGCCGCCCCGCGCGCGATATGCAAGCACGCCCGCACGCACGACCGCGCGGGCAACGCGTGGGCACGAACGACTGGCCCTCCTTGACCGCCACCATTGTATGTCAATCATACCCGATCACATACATGAGCGATAGATCGAGCATACACTCAGCCCCCATCGTATACTCCCTGATGCAGACCCTTTCTTTCACCCTCCAACAGCTCCTACCAGCGGCGGGGCCGGCGGCTACACCTGCGGGGGGCGGGGCCGCCGTCCTCCAGGTGGGCAGCCAGCTGGCAGCGGCCGCGAATCGGGACGGAGGCGCGGCACTAGGGCCCGCGGCAGACGGCGCCTCCATTTTTTCGAAGTCGTCCTCCCCCCCGTCCTCGTCGTCGTCTTCATCCTCGTCGTCCTCCACGATGACGTCGGCCGTGGCGCGCCTGTGGAACTTGGTCGCGGCCTCGGTAGGGGGGCCTGCTCCGTCTCGTAATGATACTCGTGGTGCACGACGTACTCGTCGGTGACTCCTGGCGGCAGCGTTGCAGTGGGGAGCGGCGGCGGCGCCTCTGGTGGCGGCGCTTCCGCTTGGGTTTCTAACAGCTGCACGACTCCCCGAGCGAATTCAGCAGCTGTCGGCCGCTCAAGACCCTCGGGCGTGGTCACCAGGGAGACCGCATCGTAGAGCCTCCTGAAGCCCGCTGCGGCTAGTTCGATGATCGTCATCATCGTACGTGTAGCCCCTCTCCTCCAGGACCTCCTCGGCCCAGGCAAGGAGGGAGACAGCGTCCAGGTTGGGCGCCGCGGGCGCGGTGCGCGCCAGTGACCCAGCGGCGTCCCGCGCGGCGGCGGCGGGCGGCGGCTGGGCATCAGGCGCCGCGGGGCAAGGACCCAGCGGCCTGGTGGCAGCAGCCGCGCCCGCGCCCCAGCGCAATGCGGCGGCCAGCGCCGGGGCTGCGAGCCAGAAGGCGACCATGGCTGTGGCACCCTGCAAGAGGCCCTACCTCCTCCCTCGAAGAGAGAAGGGGCTCGGAGCGCTGCCGAGATAAGAAAGGCTTGAGCGTGCCCATCTCTTTCTTCTGACCTCTCACGCTACGTTCTAAGCTGCCGCACCGAACTGCCAAGCATCATCATCAGCATCATAATCAGCATCAGCATCACTATCAGCATCAGAATTACCATCATCATCACCACCAGCATCATCATCATCATCATCATCAGCATCCTCATCATCATCGTCATCATCATCATCAGCAGCATCATCATAATCCTCATTCTCATCATCAGCAGCAGCAGCAGCGGCAGTAGCATCAGTAGCATCATCATCATCCTCATCATCAGCAGCAGCATCAGCATCAGCATCATCGAGAGAGCGTGATCCACCGCAGCTCTACTGTGAAAAATTGCCACCCTTCTTCCTCCGGAACCCGGGGGTCCCCCCTCCCCCTCCGAAAATCCCCCCCCCTGCTGGACACCCCCCCCTCCTCCCCCGGCACCCCCCCCCCTCCCCTAACCCCTCCCCCACCCCCTCCTCCGAAAACCGGGGGGGGTCACTACCGGCTCGAACCCCCCCCCTCGAAAACCGGAGGGGGGGTCACTACCGGTTCGAACCCCTCCCCACCCCCCTCACCGCCAGCAAACGACTCCCGGTCCCTACCACCGTCCGCACCACATCCCCCACTGTTGTTCCCAGCACCACTGTCCTCACCACCACTGTCCCCACTGGTTCCACCACCTTCCCTACTGTCCCCACCAGTGCCCCCACCACTGTCGCACTGTCCCCACTGTCCCCACCACTGTTCCCACCACGGTTCCACTCTCCCCACTTTCTCCACGGCCCCAACGACTGCCCGACTATCCCCACTGTCCCCACTGTCCCACTGACTCCTCCGCTGTCCCACTGAGCTGTCCCACTGTTCCCACCATTGTCCCCATGCACTGTCCCCACCACTGTCCCCACTGTACCTCTGACCCATTGTCCCACCGCCGTCCTCACTACCGCCTTCACGACTGTCCTCACCACCACAGTACCCTCCACTGTCCCACTGTTTCCACCACATTCCCACTGTCCCCACACCACTGTCCCCACCACCACCGTCCCCACCACTGTCCCACTGTCCCCACTGTTCCCACCATTGTCCTCACCACTGTCCCCACCACTACCGTCCCCACCACTGTCCCACTGTCCCCACCACTGTCCCGCTGTCCCCTCACCACTGTCCCCACCACCACCGTCCCCACCACCACCGTCCCCACCACTGTCCGCACCCCCCCCCCCGGTTTTCGAAGGGGGGGCGGGGGGGTTCGAACCGGTAGTGACCCCCTCCGGTTTTCGGAGGGGGAGGGGGGGGGAGGGGGGTTCGAACCGGTAGTGAACCCCCCCTTTTCATAATGGACTGGGGGAGGGGGGGGAGGGGTTCGAACCGGTAGTGACCCCCCCGGTTTTCCGGAGGGGGGGGAGGGGTTCGAACCGGTAGCGACCCCCCCCCGGTTTTCCGCCAGCAGCGGTAGAACACGCTCCTTCGCATCATCATCATCATCATCATCATCATCATCATCATCATCATCATCATCATCATCATCATCATCATCATCATCATCATCAGCAGCAGCAGCAGCAGCAGCATCACCATCAGCACCATCATCATCATCATCATCATCATCATCATCATCATCAGCAGCACCATCATCATCATCATCATCATCATCATCATCATCATCATCATCATCATCATCATCATCGTCATCATCATCAACATCAGCATTATCATCACCATCACCACCATCATCATCATCAGCAGCATCATCAGCATCATCATCATCGTCATCATCGCCAGCATACTTAATCATCATGATCATCAGCAGCATCACCAGCAACATCCGCATCATCATACGCATTATCATCGTCATCATCATCATCATCATCACCATCCACATCATCATCATCAGCATCACCATCATCATCATCATCATCCGCATCATCAGCATCATCAGTAGCATAATCAGCATCAGCATCATCATAAACACCACAATCATCATCAGCATCATCATCATCAGCATCATCATCATCATCAGCATCATCATCACTAACACTATCACTATCATCATACTCATACTCCGAATCATCAGCATAATCATCGCCACTACCATCATCATCACCATCATCATAGGCATCATCAGCAGCAGCATCAGCATCAGCATCAGGACCAACATCATAACCACCACCACCACCATCATCATCATCACCACCACAACCAGCATCATCATACTCATAAATAGAATCATCATCATCACCGTCACTACCATCATCATCATCATGATCAGCATTGTCATTGTCATCGTCATCGACACCGACATCGTGATCGTCATCATCATCGTCATCGTCATCATCGTCATCATCAACATCATCAGCATCATCATCACCACAATCACCATCACCATCACAATCAACATCAACACCACTCCACCACCATCATCACCATCATCATTATCCGTTTTCCTCCATCCTCCGCAATTCTTCTCCTCCTCCTCCTCCTCCGACCGTGCCTACCTCCTCCTCAGGACTCCTCCTCCCTGCTCCTCGTACCTCCTCCTGCTGATCCGAGTGATCCTCCTCTCTCCCTCTCTCCCTCCCTCCCCCTGGCGAGCTCGCGGGCCTGCTCAGGATTGGGTTTGCCGTGGCAGCCCAGGCGACCTCGCGACCGCAGGGACCGAAGGTCCAAGAACGAGAAGGTCGTTGTCGTCCTCGTCCTCCTCCTCCTCCTCATGCTGCTGCCCCTGCTCCTCCTCCCTCTCTTCCCCCTGCTCCTCCACCCCTCTCAGTTACAAGTAACTCCACCATGTCCCAGCACCAGACGTGCCCCCATGCCAGGCAGGGCGGTCCGTACGAGACACCGCGACAACTCCTTCATCCTGGAGATACAACAGAGTACTCAAAAAACTGCCAGGATGGAGGGCGGGTGGTTTCAAAAATGTGGTTCTCGCCGTCACGCTGCGCACGCAAGTGATAAAAAATCTAAGAGCTGCTGGTCGCTTTCAAACTGCGGCTCTCGCCTTAGCGCCGCGAACATACTATTACACAATTCCGGCAGCTACAAGGATTCAGGCCGGCTGATTTTCAAAATGCGGCTCTTGATTGAGACGTCCTCCAAATGCATGTCCGAACTTCAAATTGTGTAACAGCTACACGGATGGAGGGCCGCTCCTCTTCAAAATGTGATTCCCGCATGAGACGTCCTCAACCTGATAACCCGAAATGAAGGCCGATGCAACAATTGCGCGCTCACAGCTGCAGACAGCACGATCACCGGCGCGCAGCGCTCCGTGCCGGCGGCGGCGGCGAGAGAGGCAAGGGTAGAGTCCCCACAACTTCTCCACAATGTGGTTCCCGCTTGGAGACTGCCTCGACTTCATGACCAGAAAATGAGCGTGTTCTCATTCGGCTTTGCGACATTGGGCGGAATGGGGGGGAGGGGGGGGTTCTGGCTCAGGACCTCTACTCAGTGCGACTGTTTGCGGCAGTGCGCCCCATGCGGGAGACTGCGCCTGCTTGAAGCGGGCGCCCCTAACAGACAATATCTACTCCATGGGGGAAGGGAGGGGGTGCGAGGGTCCGCGCCGATCAGCAAGACAATGAATGAGAAAACGATCCCAAAGTCAGAGCCGATGTAACAAATGCACTGACGGAGGGAGGTTCCGATTCGGAACGGGGATCTCGTTTGAGGCCGCGTTTGCAAGAATTGTACGACTCGAATCTTTAAAACGTGCGTAGCGCTTACACAAATGGAGGGCAAATCCTTGCTAGAACGGGTCTCTCGCTCATCGTGCCCTTGAACTGTCTTCCCCCTGTAACCCCCTGTACGTCATCATGCTGAAAGAGAGAAGCGTGGATTCTCTACAGAGCGCGGCAAGGTCTGACAAACAGGCCCACGCGGGAAAGGAAACAGGGAAACAAAGGAGCAGGAGGGTCCTGGACCCGTTCCACTCAGGACCCTTTGTCTTGTGATATGCGACTGCCCACGGCAAGCTCTACCACAGTGCCAGCGCGGAACTCTGAGTGGCGACGCTTCGAGCACCGCCTACAAGGCCGTGGCATGTGACTAGAAAGACAAACACGATTATCCAGACGAACGACCCAATGATATGCGGCTGCGAGTACGGCAGGGCAGGTGGTGCCAAGAAGAGGGACGAGCACACAACGAGTGGCGTAGGACATGATTCTGGCCATGCATTAAACGGGCGAAGAACGGTATAACATAAACTGTTTCGCTGTCGGGGGCGCCTGTCCCTGGGCGGCTGGAAAATTGTATACCCTTACGGTGGCACCGTAGGGTTATAAACTTTCCAGCCGCCCAGGGACAGGCGCCCCCGACAGCGAAACAGTTGATGTTATACCGTTCTTCGCCCGTTAATTATTGGCAGTTCGCCACCTAATGGATTCAACTCGAGCCATGCGGGCTCTGCCACTGGGGCCTTGCGTGGAGATCCCAGAGCTCCCTGCGGGGCACCGACACGTGTGAGGGGTGCACCGAAATGGGCGCGGGCACGTGTGCGAACAATGCCCTTCGGTGGATCTCCGTATGGGACGCGAAACGTGTGTGGGGTGTGCCGACATGGGCGCGGGCACACACGCGGGCGCTGCCGCTGGTGCCTTCGGCAAAGCTCCCACGGCACGTGACAGGGGTGCGCCGAAATGGGCGCGGGCAAGCATGCGAACAATGCCATTGAGGCCTGCAGTGGAGTTCCGTATGGGGAGTTGCAACGTGTGAGGGGTGTGCCGAAAGGGGCGTGGGCACGCATGCGGTCCCTGCCGCTGGGGCCTTCGGTGGACCTCCCTATGTGGCCACGACGCGTGCGAGGAGTGTACCAAAATGGGCGCGGGCACGCATGCGAACAATGCCAATGTGGCCTTCGGTGGAGCTCCGTATGACGCCGCGCAATGTGCGAGGGGTGTGTCGACTGTGAGCGGGCACATATGCGGGCGCTGCCGCTGGTGCCTTCGGCAGAGCTCCCACGACACGTGCGAGGGGTGTGCCGAAACGGGCGCGGGCACGCATGCGAACACTGTGGCCTTCGGCGGAGCTCCACGTGGGGCCGCGCAACGTGTGAGGGGTGTGCCGAAATGGGCGCGGGCACAAATGCGTGCAGCCACTGGGGTCTAAGGTGAACCTCCTTATTGAGCAAGAAACGTGCGAGGGGTGTGCCGAAATGGGCGCGGGCACGCAGACGGGCGCTGCCGCTGGGGCAGTCGATGGACCTCAGCTTGGGGCCACGAAACGTGCGAGGAGAGTGCCGAAATGGGCGCGGGCACACATGCGGGCTCTGCCCCTGGTGCCTTCGGCAGAGCTCCCACGACACGTGCGAGGGGGGGGTGTGCCGAAATCAGGGCGGGCAAGCATGCGAACAATGCCACTGGGGGGAGCTCTATTGTACAGGGCCGCGCAACGTGTGAGGGGTGTGCCGAAATGGACGCGGGTACGCATGCGAACAATGCTGCTGGGGGCGTCGGTGGACCTGCCTATGTGGCCACGACGCGTGCGAGGGGTGTACCGAAATATGCGCGGGCACGCATGCGAACAATGTCACTGTGGCCTTCAGAGGAGCTCCGTATGTGGCCTCGGAATTTGCGAGGGGTGCGCCGAAATGTGAGCGGGCACATATGCGGGTGCTGCCGCCGGGGCCTTCGGCAGAGCTCCCAAAACACGTGCGAGGGGTGTGCCGACATGGGCGCGTGCACGCATGCGAACAATGCCATTGGGGCCGTCGGTGGAGCTCTGTACGGGGCCGCCAAACGTGTGAAGGGTGTGTCGAAATGGGCGCGGGCACGCATGCGAACAGTGCCACTGAGGTCTTCGGTGAAAACCTGTATGGGGCCAGGAAGCGTGTGGGGGTGGTGTGCCGACATGAGCGCGGACACGCATGCGGTCCCTGCCGCTGGGGCCTTCGGTGGAGCTTCTTATGGGGCCAAGACATGTGCGAGGGGAATGCCAGGATGGGCGCGGGAAGGCACGCGAACAATGCCACTGGTGTCTTCGGCCGAGCTTCATATGGGGCCGCGAAACGTGTGGGGGGGGTGCCAAAGTGGGCGCGGGCACGCATGCGAACAATACCACTGTGGCCTTCGGCAGAGCTCCGCATGGGGCCGCGAAACGTTCGAGGGGTGTGCACATGTGGGCGGCGGGCACGCATGATGGCAGTAACGAGGAGAAGGAACAAAAAGGGAGGAGGACGCGGGAGGAGGAGGAGGAGGAGGAGGAAGAGGAGGAGTGGAACGGGGCGCCCAAGATATGCTTGGGAACTGTATCCGCCACCGCGTCTCTCGGCACGGAGTGGGCGTGTCCTCAGGTCCTTTGCCAAATCCTCTAAGCCTCAATCCTCACGCCTGAGGAATCCCTTAGGAGACTGGACCCCGAATCCTCAAATCTCATGGGAATCCCCCGCGTGGTGGCGCCCGATTTTTCCCATTGTAGAATCAGAAAGGTCGTTTGCGCACGCGGGCCGCATTGCCCTCATCCCGCACGCGTGTCATCCTTTAGGAGGGCCCTCTCCTGGCTCGGTCATTGCTCACCCTCTTGGCCGTTCTGCCCTCTCCCCCTGCCCCCTCTGGCCCCCTCTCTCTCTCTGGCCGCCAAAATCAAGAGAAAGAATGACAACCAAGAGAATGAATGATAAGAGGGAAGAGTAAGTAAACAGGTAGGGTAAAGGAAAGATGCACCTTTTCTGACTCCGCTCGGAGCCTTGAGCCAAGGTTCGCGCGCGCGTGCATTCATGCAACTGCTCGCTGCTATGCCACACTGCCTGCTTCCGACGCTCGCGTTCTATACATGCTGTCGCTGAGACGCAGCGCGCCCCAACGCGAGCTACAGGAAGCGATCCTGCCCGTGCTAGGCAAAATCTGGCTGTCTCACTCACCGGCCTCCCCAGTCTGGGAAACCGTCGTCGCATTCTTCTGCAGGCACGTCGTCGCCTCGACCAGTGTTGTCCGGAATTGCACTCTGTCTTCCGGAGTCGTCTTGGCGTCAATGATCATCATCACCTTCTGAGTGTCGTCTCAGCAGCTTTCCGCTTCTGGCGCGAGCCGTCCGCAGCTGGCCCTGGGAGATCCCGATCCCCTCCCCTTTCGGCTCCTGAGGCCTGGCTTTGCTGCGCGCGGCGCCGCCTCTGGCTGCCTGCCAAGCAGGCGCGCCCTGCGCCGCTGCCAGACACTGATCCTGGATCTTCCACGGAGGCGGGGTGTGCGAACTTGATGCCGGACTGCTCGCTGCGTCGCTGCTGGGCGCTGGTCCCGGCTCCTCCACGGGAGCGGAGTGTGCGAAAATGGCGCCAGACCGCTCGCCTTCGGATGCGCCGCTGCCGGACGCCGCCCCTGGTCATGGCGCATCCTTCATCGGGCATTTGTTCCCCCCATGTCCAAATCTGCGGCAATAGCGGCATTGCCCAGGCTTCAGCTGCGCATTCGGCACCGCGCCCTTCGGCCCGCCGCCCCGGGCGCGAGCGAAGGAGAGAACCACGAGGGTGATGATGTAAATGGCGACGACGATGGCACGAGGGAATGCCCACTTTTGGGGCGCATCGGGCGCTTCGGCCAAGGTTCCGACCACTTCCGCGCCGCGCGGGAGCCATTCGAAGCGGCTCAAGTCCAGCCACGCACCCTTGCTCTCCGCAAGCGTGGCTCCCAGCTGCCTGAACTTCCGC